ATAATAATGTACAATATGGGTTCATTTGTTGTGAAAAATATACCCATATTAATAGGTTAATAGGGGAAACTGAGTATATATACCTAGAGACTCTCTGTACCATCTTTGAAGCTTTTCTGTAAATCTAAAGATCGTCTAAAATAAAAAGTTTATTTATTTATTTATTTATTTATTTTTTTTTTATTTTTTTAAAGATTTTATTTATTTATTTGAGAGAGAATGAGAGGTAGAGAGCACGAGAAGGGGGAGGGTCAGAGGGAGAAGCAGACTCCCTGCTGAGCAGGGAGCCCGATGCGGGACTCGATTCCGGGTCTCCAGGATCATGACCTGAGCCGAAGGCAGTCGCTTAACCAACTGAGCCACCGAGGCGCCCCCTAAAATAAAAAGTTTATTTAAAGAAAAGAAAGAAAGTAGAGGGAGAAATTCTCATACATTACTGGTGCAAATGCAGAATGGCGTGGTCATTTTGGAAAACGGTCTGGCAGTTGCTTAGAAAATCAAACATAAAGTTACCCTATGACTTAGCAATTCCACAACTTGGTATTTCACTAAGGGAAATGAAAACCAGTGCTCACACCGAAAGCAGTACGTGAAGACTTATAATGGCTTTATTCGTAATCGCAAGAAACTGGAAACAGCCCAGACATCTCTCAGTAAATGGACAATGGCACGTCCATACAATGAAATGCTACTTAGCAATGAGAAGGAACAAGCCCCTGAGAATGCCACAGGGATGAATCTCAACTGTGTTGTGATAAATGAAGGAAGTCAGACTCGAAAGGTTCCACACTGTCTGAGTTTACTTACATGGCATTCTAGGAAAGGCAAAACTGAGGGCACACGTAGCAGGTCATGCTAGGAGCTGGAGATCGGGGGGATGGACTCCAAAGAGACATGGGGGGCGTGGAACACTGAGTGAATTGGAATTGTTCCTTGTCCTGATTGTGGTTGTGGCTACATGACAGTGTATGTTCTTCACAGCTCCCAGAACTGCACGCTAATAAATTGAATTTTGCTATATGCAAATTGTACCTTGATTAAAAATGAAAAAACAACTCAGGGATGATTGGCCACTTTTCAAAACTGCTCTCTACGGGATTTGTTTAAATAGTATCCTCACCTGCTGTACTTCCACTGCTCCCATTTCCAACTGCTCAGTCTGCCAAAAGGGCACTTGGGTGGTGGTACGTGAATATCACTGTGCTGTTTGCTATTTGGAGACTCGGAAGTGGAGCTGCAGTCCAGGGACAAAGACCCAAGACCGCGGAGACAAAGAAACACAGATGACAGCTAGGCTTGTATCTGAACAATGGGGACATTAGCTAAGTGCCTCCTAATCACCTGCTTTTGATATAATCATGAAGCTGATGAGATCTTACTTTTGTACTGCGCCTTATAGCTTACAAAGCTCTCACAGCCATTCACTCATGATTCACACAATGCCTCTGTCGCTTAGGTGAGACAAGTGTTGTCACCTCCAGTGTTAAAAGGAGATGGAGTGGGGCGCCTGGGTGGTTCTGTCCATCGAGCATCTGACTCTTGGTTTCAGCTCAGGTCACGATCTCAGGGTCATGGGTTCGAGCCCCACATTGGGCTCTGCACTCAGAGCAGAATCTGCTTGAGATTCTTCCTTTCCTTCTCCCTCTGCCCACCCCCCCACCACTTGTGTGTGCACTTGCTCTCTCTCTCTCTCAAATAAATAAACAATATCTTTTAAAAAAAGGAGAGGGAGGTACTGAGAGTTCGCACTTAGCTCTGTGTACAGGTGCACTGGCTTGGCCCTCTCCATAGGTTGGTAATCCATATAAGACACATGGTAATTTGGTGTGGTATTCCTATCTTATGTATTTTACAAATAAGAAAATAATTACTTTATAGATGATGAAACAGGTTCTAGGAATTTTCCAAGGTCACTTGACTAGTAAGTATTAGAGGCAAGAGTTAAAATCAGATGTTCAGCTTCCAAGCCTACTTCTCTTTCTTTTATCCCATATTCTGGCAATGGGACTTTCCTGCATAGTGTATTTAAATTAATGGCATTTTGCCATGAATCTTCACCTCTTTAATGTGCCAGTGAGTGGACAGTTTTCATTAGCTTCCACCATCAGAGTCGGTTATTACACAGAAAGTGTGCTGTACTCACTGTCATCTTTCCTAGTGACTTTGGGGGCTTGGAAGCAGTCCGCAATCTTTGTGTTTCTCTCAGCCCTTGTGTTTAGATAGTATCTGAATGTATGAGAACTGTACGTATGCTGGAATCTGTGACTTCCAGAAAAAAACAAAACAAAACAAAAAACCCCCCAAAAACCTCATCAGGGTAAGCATGAGAGGGAAGCTGAATTTTCAACAAACACTAGAACATCTACATCAATATGAGTCTTTGAGTCTTTTTCTCTCAGATAGCTGCTTTGAGAGGATATCCAGTTCAGTTGCTTTTTAGTTGTCTCAGTTTTATTTAAAATAATAACACCATGTGCCTTACCGGGATTGGCTCTGGAAATCCTTTTTTTTGATTCCTTGGTGGTCTCTGAGCTCCTTCTGGGCAGGACTGAGCCTTCTCCCCTCTGTGTCCTCAGGGATCCAGAGCATGGCCCTCCAGGGTGTTCAGACTGTGTCTCTTGAGTGGAACTGAACCATAACTCATTCTCCAGGACAAAGCTGTCACTGCAGGGTGGAGGCTGGTCCACAGACACCTTATCCCCCTTGACCTCTGGCCTGAAGAACGTGGACGACGACCATGCAGGAAGCCTTAGCCCAAACTATCTCAGATGCCTGACTTTGCCCACTGGTTTATTAGTCATTCTGTATAATTGTACTTCTTTCTTTGAGCCCACTTCATCTTGGCCATATTTCCTGTTTCCGTTTCTGTCATTTCTTCCAGGACTGTCCAGCTCTGTCCTGGGGGCCACTCCAAGCCTCATCTCACCCTCACTGACTGGTTTTTCTCACCCCTTTCCTCATGCCATGGACCGAACATAGGTTTTTCCAACCCTCCTTGCCCTGTTCCTCACTCAGAAGCCCCAGTGGGGAAGAGCTGGTAACCAATGGAACCTCTAACTGGATTTTTCCTGGATCACCGCTGATATTTCAGAGCACCTCTGATTTGCTGGCCTTTAAGGCAGAACCTCTCATCTCTAGGCCAGAGAGCAGGAGAAGAGAGAATCATCAAAACCTTCCCTGTACTGAGGGGGCCTCAGGAAGAGCCCACCGTGCTCTGCCATATTTCCATCCAGAATCCCTATTGAGTGTTCAATCATCCACCACTCAGCCTCAGTTTTCCTCATCAAAATTTTAGAGGAAAATATCACCATTGTGAGTTAAACTAAGAATGAACACTGAAGGAGATAAGTAAAAGAAAGCTCTTCCCTCTTAATATTGGCTTAACTTAAAATATGAACAAGCCTTATTCCAGTCCTAATAGAAATAAGTTTATATGCTCCCACCTATTCAGAATGGTTGCAATCTATAGTTACCTATTCTCACTATGTGATGGAAAGTCTGCTGGTCTCGGAGACTAGAGCCTGAATTCTATCACGCCATCTATGAAAGCTGAGTATCGCTTGCTTATGTCATCTGGGAATGACATTGCTAATCACTGAGTGGCTTCTGCCCTAACACTCACTTGCACCCCCATTACTGAGCCAGCTCAGCCCCATGCTCAGTTCCAGCGTGCAGTGAGAAAGACACGTCCTTCCTTTCTCAAGTTGCCCCCAGCCTCACTCTCCAGATAACCCTCTCTCTCAAAGAGCAAGTGATTCCTGAAGCTTTTTGGTGCAGGTGTCCCTTCGGTCTCATTAGACGGTGAGCCCCCCAGAGTAGTGATCATATCCACTTTCTTCTGTTTCCCCACCATGCCTGGCCCCAAGGTCTGCAAGTGGTGGGCACCCACTGGCTTTTAGAAAGAAGTCTTTCAAGCCGGGAGGGCTCTTAGCCTACAGTACAAGCTCTCAAAGGCTAGATGGCACTGTTGCTAGAGCCAAATCAGGTGTGTTGGGAAAGAAGGGGGAGGTGGGAAGAGAAACCAGAGCAGGAGTCCCTGGACTGTTGACTTGCTGAGTTTGACTCAGACTTGTTACAGAGATGCATGAGGACTCCTGCCAGCTTTGCTTCAATAGGTCTTCACCACAACCGTGGTAATAGACAGGACACTGCACCAATTCTGACTTTATAAAAAAGCAGCCCAGAGAAATCAAGTGCCCGGGCTCAAGTTAAATGGCAGCTAATGAGCAAGGATTTCTGCATTCCGTGCCTTGTTGGCATTGCCCTGCCAGGATGAAGCCCCTGGAGTTTGACCAAGGAGGACTGTAGTTGGTGGTATGGCTGTCCCAGGACAGTGGCTTGGGTGAACTGGACCCAGTCTGAGCAGAAAAGGTAGAGTTTGCAGACCTCTGCCTCAAAATGTTTACGTTTGTGACCAGGGGAGAATATAGTCATTTTAGAGGAAACAAATGATAACATATACAGGTTCTTTGAAGAACGGCAATTGTAGGTAATTTGTACACTCACTAGGACCTAAGGTGAATGGTTGATGTTTCATTTAAAGAATGAATTATTTTGAGATGCCGCTGTGTGGTTGGGTTCTATCTGTCATTTGTCCATTGCTTCATTATGTTCACATGTTTCTCATTAAAATGAAACAAAGCAAATAAGACCATCCCGTGCAGTAGGCAGGATGAGTGTCATGACTGTGCCCTTTTAACAGATGAAGAAATAGAGGGTCAGAAATGATCCCATGGCTGATCACTGAAACTTCAGCTCAGTATGAGGCCAGAATCAAATCTTGTCCTCTTTGGAAAAACCATAGTCGTTCCAGGCTATGCAGAAATCACAAAATTAGGTGGGCTGTTGTGGATATGAAGAGCAAGGCATCAGAGACTAGGAAAATACCTAGTCAGAGTAATGAATGATTAAAGATATGCAAATGTGTGCAAATTTGAGAGAAAATTGATACATCTGTTGTTTGTGCCAATCTGATTGTTTGTATTCTCCTGTTTCCCCAGGATGATGAAGATAAGCTGACCTGGAAAGATCGTTTCCCGGGTTACTTGGTGAACTTCGCCTCCATCTTGTTCATGGTAATTTTCCTGATGGAACTCTTGCCTATGATTTATGCATGTGGATCCTGTAGAGCAAACGCTGTGGGTGTGTTATTCTAGCATGCTGTGAGGATAGTGGGGGGCTAGGAAAGATGAAGCCACAGTCCTGTCTAAACAGGGAGGATCTTACCTGATAGTGAGGGAAAGGTGGTTCCCTCTGACCTGGGATGGGGGCCAGTGGCCTTGAATGGCTACAGAAGGGGTTCTGTCTTCCCAGATAGAAGAGGGTAGGGAGGTTCTATCTTCCCAGCCCTGCGCACAGGGGTTTGAGGTTGGAACTTCCGGGGGTGGGCTGTGAGATGATGCCTTCCATGTTGAGACAAACCAAGACCTTGGAAGAGGTAACCCAGGTAAGATGAGGGTTTGTGGAATAGAACAGAGCTTGGAAACCACAGAGGACAGCCAGCGTGGGCTCTGTGCGAGCCTGATTCTTTAGCTTCCCTATAGTTGCTGTTTTTATTTCCCTGTGTTCTCCCTTAGAGTTTGGAAGAGCCTTTTCGAAAGACCCACATGGGTCTCAGCTGTGTCCGGGAAGATGAGGAATGGGTCTGTGATTCATGTTCAAGTCAGATCCATAGAGTAGTAGCAGGTCATTCTTGGGAGCCACGATGGGTGAGACAAGAGTGAGTGGAGCAAGAAGGCCCCAAGAAGGTGAAACTCAGAGGACTGAGCTTGGGTCCCTGAGACCCCTGCTCCCCCTTTATGGGTAGATACCTCCTGATACCAAGGCTGGAACTTCTGTTTTACAAAGGAGTGCTGTGTCCTTATAACGTTTCTAAGCAGGACTACACATTAGTTGTAGGGTTGGGGGAGGATTGCTTATTCTGGGACTGAAATCATGATCATTTTCTGGACCTACTTACCAGCGTTACCCCTGGCCCTGACCCGAGGTTATTATTGCTGTTGTGATCATTGAGAACAGGAGCCATGTCTTAGTCTCAGAGATTTAAAAAGAGAAGGAGTCCTAGGCACCGTCTATTTCAGCATCTCATTTCACAGATGAAGGACAGAGGTGATGGGTGCCTTGCCAAAATTGAGAAGTCTGCATTTGTTACCTTCTCATTGCTTAACAAGAGCAAGGCATGGAGAATTTATTCAAGAATATGTGGTGAATCGCAATGTGTTAAGCTGGAATGATGTAAAGTTTAATTTAGGATTTCAAAGCCTCCCTCAATGTGCATATTGTTGTCAAAGAGTTTATTCACTCATTCAAGAAATATTTAACTGGGGGTGCTTGGCTGGCTCAGTTACTGGAGTGTGCGACTCTTGATCTCGGGGTTCTGAGTTCAAGGCCCATGCTGGGTGCAGAGGTTACTTAATATAAAATCTTTTAAAAGAAATTTTAAAAATATATTTAATGGGTGCCAAGTATATGCTTGACAGTGTTCTTAGGCATTGTGGATAGAGTAGAAAATAAAATAATCTCTCTAAGGAGTTCAAAGATAGCAAATACACACATAAATAAGGAAACTGATAAAATAGATTTCTATCTCCAGTAGCGGTAGGTTAGGATATTTGTAGCATCCCATCTTGCTGAAAATAAGAAATATTGGGTGAATATATTTTTCATTCTTCTTAAAACCTTGAAGGGCTAATAGGTTAGTAAAGAATACTAGGCTATTCCTAATACAGATCCATCTAAGGGAAATGGAACCAAGGAGACAAATACCTGGGCATTAATATTGCTTTTGCCTTGGGGCACCTGGGTGCCTCAGTCGTTAAGCGGCTGCCTTTGGCTCAGGTTATGATCCCAGGGTCCTGGATAGAGCCCCACATTGGGCTCCCTGCTCAGTGGGGAGCCTGCTTCTCCCTCTTCCTCTGCCACTCCCCCTGCTTGTGCTTGCTCTCTCCCTCACTCCCTCTCTCTCTTGCTGTCAAATAAATAAATAAATAAATAAAATCTTTAAAAAAAAATACTGCTTTTGCCTTGAGGACATTTTCCCATCTAGGCAAACTTGGGCTTTGGTTTTTGGTGGTTTTATGGGGCAAAGAGGATAGAAATGGGGTGTAGCTGGCCCAAAGTGGAGATGCTAGCAGGAAATTCTCACCAAGTTACACTGGAACTCCACCAAGAGCTACACTCTCAGAATAGAGGTGAAGCAGCACTAAACCCACCCCCTCCCCACTTATGGGACAGCAGAGAACATTATTCTGGCTCTAAGTAGAACAGGGAGAAACAGGGAAACAAAACCCTGTCCCTGAGAAGTGGCCATGGACGATCCCCATCATGGGCTTCCAGCCCGGTTTGTCACTTGAGAGGATGGGGGAAGCTGGGGCTGGGACCTTGGCCAGGGCAAGTCGTGCTTCCGGGTGCCCAGCAGAAGTAAGCACACGCTCTCTTTGTGGGATGGCAGATCTACACCAGGCCTCGAAAAATCCCCCCAAAGAATTTTTCAAGGGCAAAGAAGAGAATGCAGTTAAAAATAATCAATTAGACAAGAAGCTAAAGTGCAATGAAAGAGAACCAGTGCGGGGAGATGGCAAAGACTCTGGAAATATCAGTCACAGGTTAAAACGTCCAGTTTGAAAATATCTGCAAAAAATAAGAAACAGTCTTAAAGATTTTATTTATTTATTTGTCAGAGAGAGAGAGACCACACAAGCAGGGGGAGCGGCAGGCAGAGGGAGAAGCAGGCTGCCCATCAAGCAGGGAGCCTGATGCAGGGCTCTATCCCAGGACCCTGGGTTCATGACCTGAGCCAAAGGCAGACACTTAAATGACTGAGCCACCCAGGCGCCCCAAAAAGAAGAAACTATTTTAAAAATGACCTCAAGATTTGAAAACCGGCCCATAAATCTTCTAGAAATGAATATATATCAGTGAATGTGAATATATAATATATAATAATACATACGATATGAATATATAAATATATATATACATAATATTGTATATATATACACACACATACAATAGGGTTGGATTTAACAACAAATTAGACAGTTGAAGAGATCATTTGTGAACTGCAGTTCAGGTTAGAAAAAATTATCCATAATGTAGCACAGGGAGGCAGAAGATTGAAAATTCAAAAGAGAAATTAATAGAGTGAAAAGATTTCACATGTATTTAATTTCACTACCAGAAAAAGAGGTGAGAATAGTAATGAATGAAATACACTGACTGCTGGTCTCCTAGTCGACTAGTTCTGCTAACAGAATTCCAATTCAGAGATTGAAGAATCTCAGTGAAATTCAAGCAGGAAAAATAAAAAGAACTCTATCTCTGTGAAATCGTAGAATATATGAGACACAAGAAAAATCTCAAATGTAGTTAGAAATCAAAAGACAAATTACCTTTAATGAAGAGACTGTTCGATCAGCCATTGATTTCACATAGCGGTTGGAGTCAGAATACACTGTTGTGTTTATCTTCATGTGCCAAAAAGAAAACGATTGCTAACCTGGAATTCTATACCCAAGGAAAATGTAATATAGAAGTATTAGTATAAAATACAGATATTTATAGCCAAACAAAAGCTGAGGGTCTGCAACCAACTGAATCTTTCACTAAAGGAAATCCTAAGAATGTACTTCAGATATGATCCCGTATGGAAAACCATAGTTTTAAGAAGGAATGAAGAACAAAGTGGTAAATATGTGGGAAAACCTATGTGATCTTTACTGTAAACAATGATGATGCTGTCTCATAGGGTTAAAAATAAGGCAGTGGGGTGCCTGGCTGGCTCAGTCAGTAGAGCATAGGACTCTTGATCTTGGGATTGTGCGTTTGAGCCCCACACTGGGTGTGGAGCTTGCTTAAAAGAAAAAAATTTAAAAAATAAGGTAGAAGTACAGTGTACACATTAATAATAGCATATAAGTTGGATGGGCAGTAATGAAACAATAACATTGTAAGGTCTTTATATTTCCTCCCTGACAATTTATATGGAAGCACAAAAGCTAAGAATAGTCAAGACACTCTTGGGGCACCAGGGTATTTCATTCGGTTATGCATCCAACTCTTGATTTCAGCTCAGGTCATGGTCTCAGGGTTCTGGGAGCGGGCCGCATCAGGCTCTGCGCTCAGCGAGGAGTCTGCTTGAGGATTCTCTCTCCCCTTCTCCCCCCACCCCTTCTATCTCAAATAAATAAATAAATAAATAAATAAATCTTAAAAAAAAAAAAGGTATAGTAAAGACACTCCTGAAGAGGAGTAAAGAGGGCTAAGGTGCTCTACCAAATGGAAACTTACAACAAAATAGTAATAAGTATGACAGTGTGATATCTTTGTAGGAATATAATTAGACCAGTGAAACAAAACCAAAGGCCAAGAATCAGATCCATGCAAGTGGCACTGCATATACTTGAGGAAAATTAAGAATTATATCATAGGGTGCAAAAGAGAAGTCCAGGAGGACTCTAAGGTTCTTATCCTGAGTAATCAAAAGCTGGAGTTCTCCCTTCCTGGGATAGGGAGGAATTCTGGAGTTGCCTTCATGATGGATATAAACTTGCAGCTCAGAGGAGACCTAGACAGATGGTATTGGTGGTATTTAAAGCCATGAGATTGTATGAGATCACAGGGGTTTGAGGGCAGATAGAGGATCCAAGAGTTGAGTTCCAAGACACTGCCATGTTGAAGTTTGGGAGCATGAGGAGGATCCAAAAACGAGATCAAAAGGAAAGCCAGGGGAGCATGGGCAGTCCTGGAAGCCAAGAAAGTATTGCAAGGGGAGGGCAATCAGTTATGTCAGATGCCAGCCATAGGTCAGGCGAGGAGAGGACTGGAAACAGAAGCTTGTCTACTGTCTGAGAGAGGAACTGGCATCATCTGCATCACTGTCAGCAACAAATAGGTGACCACATCACCACTGACAAATACAGGCATACCTTTGTTTCATCATGCTTCATTTTACTGCAGTTTGCAGGTATTGCATTTTTTTTTTACAAATTGAACATTTGTGGTAACATTGAGCAAATCTGCTGGCGCCGTTTTCCCAAGGGGTCTGCTTACTTCTTGCCTCTGTGTCATAGTTTGG